TACATTTTCCTTGCAACATTTTTTCTTCTTCTTCCATTCTTGCTCACGTTTTGGCATTTCTCTCTCGCAATTGCACCAGTGTGACGTCACACAAAAGTTATTCTCAAAAATCCTCTCTGATCGGCGCAATCTTGTATTCTATCATTCTTGACTTCTACCTTGTTATGCCTTGGGTAAACCCGCTCGCTTAATTCGTCCGCCATTGGGGGTTTTTTTTACGTTTGCTAGCATTTTGAGTTTTCTCTCTAGAAATGCTTCTAATGTCAAAGAAATTCAAAATAAACAAATGAAAATTTAAGATTTAAAATATTTATTTATTCAGAAGTTGAAAAAACAAAATTGGAAACGAAAAATTAGTTGCTGCTTTAACGGCTGCCCAAATTCGTTTTCCTCTGCAAGCAATGCAATCTAAAGATCCTCAAGTTCCCGCAACTATCGTGTATACAGCAAAAATGGATCGAGGTTTGTGGTGTTATGAAAACGGATTTGCCAAAGTGCCCCTATGTATGCTCGACTCATGTTTTGTACCACCTGACCTAATGTAAGCACAAGATAGTTCTTTGTAAAAGTGCAGTGCCTTTAAGGTAAAATATCTTCAAATGCATGCCAAAAGCTTCGCCTTAATACAAGGTGTTGGATATTGACAGCGTTCTCGCTCTAATCCGCCATCTTGACTCCCTTAGCAAAATCGATGTTTCCCTCTTGAAAAAACTACATTTTACCGCCTTAAAAAAAGTACTAAACTACCTCATTCCCTATTCTAAAACTGATTTGCAATCACTGAACAATTATTTGACATTTACTTTATTCTAATTCGTTGACAACGGAAAATTAAATAACAAATTTTAAACTTTAGTTCGACAAAAAACGTGGGCTTTGTGTATTCTCCAAAGGATTTACAGCGAGATGGACGATGGGCACTCACTGAGGGAAGCTTGAATTTCTGCTGCGTGAGGCAAAATACGCCTATAATAATTTACAATACCGAGGAAGCGGCGCGAGTCAACAACTGTTTGAGGCTTTGGATAACTTTTTCCTCAGGAGGCTGGTAACAATGCTGGCTCACAGAATAGCCTAAGTAGACTACTTCACTTCCACCGATATGGAATTTTTGTATGTTGATTTTTAAGCGAAAGTCTCCTGCAGTGCGCCAGCCACCGGACTCTTTGGGCATCATGTGGATGGGACTTGTCCATTGATTGCTCGAAGGTGTTATGACACCATGATGCAGCAACAGATTAAAATCTTCTTTTGCGGCGTTTAACTTCTCACCAGTGAGTTTGCGTGGGCGCTCGTGGACTGGGGGACCATTGGTGACAATGTGGTGTACGGTTGTTTCACTATCGACATTTGGTGCAGCATCACGTAGTGTGATCTCTATGTAATCCTTCAACAGGTTAGCTTAGAATGCGTCTGACTTGCTTTTGGACAAATTCGACGTAGGGTGCACAATTGTCGCGATGCTGTCAATTTGTATAAATTTATACCAAACTCGGTGCACTTAATTATCTTGGCATGGAAAAGCAATACGTTTAAAATACGAAAACTCCGATGTTTCAGTAATTGTGGACCCTAATTTACTCCAAGTTAATACTTACAACATTCATTTAACAATAAATAAGACTGTTATATTACTGTAATTATTACAAAAATGTAGTTTTATTACATTTTCTTACTTTTACTGTGATACATATTTGAATTATCTAATTCCCTAAATTAAAGTGGAATCTGATTTTTTTAACCGGTGACCACCCTAGGAGGTTGCTAAAAATAAAGCGTTTTCAAAACCATTTCCGATGCCCATATTGCAGCAATGCATTTAATCTTCCAACCTAGATACGAACACGTAAGTATGCGTCCTCCTACAATCGGAACACCCTATGTGGGTCGGCTGAATCAGTAAAGCGTGACAGTAGTTGACTTTTGAGGTTAATATATCGGTCTTGAGTTGGTAAGGTTTTTAAAACATCCGCAGCTTCCTTTAAAGCATCGCTGCTAATTGCTGAGAGGACCAGATTATATTTACCGACATAAGATGTGGTCTTGTACGACTGAAAGGTGGCCTCAATTTGTAGAAACCATTTGTCTGGCATCTCAGTTCAGAACGGTCGCAGCTTGCATTGCGATACAAGCTCCACATCTTTAGTTGGTATTTTGTTCGATGAAATATTCTCCCAATCCGTCGATGCGCCCTTTTGTCGATTCCGTCATGTTGTAACGACTCGGGGTCACCACTAATTTTTTGGTTTTGGAAGTTTGACTATAATTATAGGACATTGTGTTTAATAAACTAAATTACCATTTATTGCATAAGTACTACGTTATATATACTACTTTCGCGAATTTAGCTTATAATATACCGTTTGTAACTATTTATATACAAAATTTGATATGAAAAATAGTACCAAATTTCGTACTACTTCGCAAAGCGGGCTTTTTTCGGTAATTCTCTAGTGTAGGGTAACAACCCCTAAAAAAGGTCCGGAAAAGTCGGGAGGGGTACCAAACGACGCGTTTCGGTCCCCCTATTAACAATCCGGAGGGGGAAGGCTAATATTATTAACCATTTAAAAGTTATGAACAAAAAAATTTTGTTAAATTTCGTTGTTTTCTATGGGCAATTACACCGACAAAGATTCACTAAATCACCTGTTCTCACTTTTTAAACACTATTAAAATATATAATTTAACTTATTTATTAAACAAACACATAGTTTTACCAACCTAAGATAGATTATTTTGTTATTAAAAAGAAGTTGACAATCTTTGCGAACTGAAACGCGAGATTCCAAAATAGCTATAGTGCTGCCACTGTATTAGTATTTCGTAATAATTCACTTTTCCTTATAAGGTGTGTGCACTGTTCAATGCTTTTCGGTATCTTCTTTCGTTTAATATATATATAAATAATGAAAATTTTTAATAAAAATCGCGCGATATTAAAAATTTACGGCTGCGGCGATTTTTTCATAAAAATCAATACTTCGATAAATAATGAAAATTTTTAATAAAAATCGCGCGATATTAAAAATTTACGGCTGCGGCGATTTTTTCATAAAAATCAATACTTCGATAAATAATGAAAATTTTTAATAAAAAATTGCGCGATTTCTTACTAAAAATTTTCGCCTGCGGCGCTTTTTCCATATAAATCAATACTTTGATAAATGAAAATTTTTAATAAAAAATCGCGCGATTCAATACTTCAATCAATACTTTGATAAATAATGAAAATTTTTAATAAAAAATCGCACTTTAGCACTCCATGACGCTTACTTTTAATTACAGCTAAAATAACAGTAAACCATAAAAGTAGCGCTGCCATGGTATAGCGAAATTTGCTATTATATTTTGGTTAGAATATCTTATTTAGGTGAAAGTAAAAAAGAAGAAGAAGAAGAAGAAGAAGTGTATAGTGTAAACTGAGTATAATAGCGCAAATGAAATGTGAAATAAAGTGGCAATACCAGCGATTTGAGGTTATAATAATTTTGGCAGGCGCAAAGTTTGTTTACTATGTTTTATTAACGAAATATATAAGATAAAAGTGAATAAATGATTTGGTTTGCATAAAATTATAACCGGAGACGTTCTAATAGTGTTTTAAAAGTGTAAACTGGTTATTTAGTGCATTTTTGACGTGGTAATTGCTCATAGAAAACAACGAAATTTAACAAAAGTTTTTTGTTTATAACTTTTAAATGGTTAATAATATTAACCCTCCCCCTACAGATTGTTAATAGGGGGGCCGAAACGCGTCGTTTGGTACCCCTCCCGACTTTTCCGGACCTTTTTTAGGGGTTGTTACCCTACACTAGAGAATTACCTTTTTTTCTTCCCGTTTCTCTCGTGCTTCCTTATTACAACCTTTTGTAAGGGAGCCGTCGACATGAGCTGTCACTACGTACAACACCTTGGCCTTAATATGCGGGCAGAAGTCCATTACACACAATTGCTTCCATTTATTTATTTACATACATATGTATGTATATTCAAATTTTGTTGTTTCGACAGAAATATATTTCTTTGGTTTGTGTGAAAATAAAAACAAACAAATGCGAAATGACGGCGAGCGAAATTTTCAAAATGCTAGCAAACGTCAAAATTCCTAAAGTTCGCTCTCAGCGATTGAACCTTACAAATATTTTTATCATGGAAATACCCATATGCATACATCGTCACTTGAAATGCAAAAAGACGCAACAACATCATCACTGAAATGGAAAAAGCCGTGACTAATATTTTTTTTCATAGAACGATGTGTGGAGTTGCAATTCGATGAAATCCATCATGTCAATCAAAAAGTTCATTTTGAATTTTTATTAGTTACGAATTTTTACATTTCAGGTGACGATATGTGATACATATCGTCAGTAGACACGAATAAAGGCGCGAGCTCAAAAGTTGACCGCTTAAAGAAAGCTTCTGCGAAAAAAACTCTTAACATAGTTGACGGCGAAGACGCGTTAAAATATTTGACGGCGAAGAAGGACGCGTAAACTTATTTTCGCAGCCAACCATGTTTGCGGGTGTAAAAGTATGTAAATTCCCCAAAGAGATTTAAGGATGATGCTGAAGTGACTGTCTTTGACCAAGTATAAATCTATGATTACGCGTCTTTCTTCGCCGTCAACTAAGTTACGCGTCTTTCTTCGTCGAAGGTTTTCTTAACCGCAAAATTTTTTTTACGGTTTTTTTTTTCGCCGTCGAAACACTAGCGCTCCTTTATTCGTGTCTAGTGACGATATATGGCCATATGGCTTTGTAGACTTTGAGCTGGCCTTATAATTCTCTACTGCTATATTAAAACTATGGAGTAACGTACAAGTTAAAAAAAAAAAAAATTGGAACAGATTTGTGTGTTCCGAATGCTGATTATAGGGCTTAGATAGTCAAAAAAGAAGGCAAAATTCTTTTCACCTTGTACACTTTAAAAACCCCCCCCGAGACTGAGGACGTATTACAAGAATATCCGTGAAATAACAAATCCTTTATGTATATGCATTTTTTGTTAAATCTTTTATTTCGTTTAATAGAAACCTTCATCTAGATCTTCGTTTACTTTATTTTCCAAAACAGATCCCCATTTTGCTGCTTCTCCGCCGCGCACTTTTACGTTGTAACATACGTTTTCGGCTTTTATTACACTTTGTCGCATTGTATAAATCTTACGAGATAGTTCACGGCAGCGCTGTATATTAAGGCTTATGTAGCTGTAGAAAAAAAAAATATAGTTCAACGGTTTGCTTTGTTTGCATATACAATACCCTGTGAAGAATTGTTGAAGAACTTTGCATGACTCCAAGCACACGTTGGTTTCTCCACTTCCCAAAGAATTAATGCATCGCCGCATCAACTCGCCGGTTAGATCCGCTATTCCCAAAATGAACTCGGTGGGATCGACGACAAAATTTACACCCTGGCTTGCTGCTAATAAATAAATACATGCTCATACATACATATCGTCACCTGAAGTGCAAAAACAAACCCCCCCTAAACGAAAGAGGATGGGCGCCGCTTTATGAAGTCACCCCTCCCCCCATTTAATTTGTATATACAATCACAGGCGCACGGGTGATTTTCATAGCAACTTTAATTAATAAATTGAGACGAATAAGTTTCAACTAAAGGAATAAAACAACTAACAACTAATAGTGTAATGTGTAAAGTTAATATAAACATAAGAATGAAGATATTAAGTGGCTGCTTAAGGCAGAATAAGAGTAATCAGTGTACGTATACCTCGGAAATTTGCAACAAGTACCATATTTCCAACCGACATTATTGTTAAATTAGTGCACAGATTTAGTAAATTAAATTTTTGTAATAAAGCGTTGTCTATTGTCTGTTGTCTACAAGTATGTGTAAAAGGATTTTGATTCGATTCACGCGTTTTTTTCATAAAATGATGTTGGGAGTTGTAATTCGACGAAATCCATCATATAAATCAAAAAGTGAATTTTGAATTTTTTATTAGTTACGACCTTTTGCATTTCAACGATGATGTTTGTTACGTCTTTTTACATTTCAGGTGACGATATATGCTATATTGTAGTAACTTTAAGGGCTTATTCACAAGAAAATAAAATGGCAGTCTATACACACGCACCACGGTAACTTTTACCGTAGATCCACGGTAAAAATTACCGTATATCCTCGGGAAAATTACCGTAGAACCACGGTATCTTCGGAATCTTTCATTGCCTCATCGGGGGTTCCTCAAGGTAGCATTTAAGGTCCCTTACTCTTTGTATTATTTATAAATGATGTGAGTTCTTGTTTTTCATTTGCTAAATTTTTGCTGTATGCTGGCGATTTAAAAATTTTTGCTGTGATTGAAAACGCGCATGATGCGGTAAGACTTCAGTCCGAGATTAATATTCTACACAACTGGTGTCTCAGCTCTCGCCTTTCTCTGAATATTAAAAATGTTTTCAAGTTACTTTTTCCTAGTCACAATATTCTTTCGACGTCTTATGTAATCTCTCAGACTCAACTTCAAAAAGTCCAAGAAATCAAAGACCTTGGTGTAATTTTCAGCTCTAATTGGTCTTTTAACAGTCATATCAGTCACATCATTTCTAAATCTTACGCTGTACTTGGTTTTCTCAGGCGTCAGAGCTCAATGTTCTCTGACCCCTATACACTTAAATTGTTATACACATCTTTTGTTCGTTCTAAGTTAGAATATGCTTCTTTTATCTGGAGGCCATACCACTCAAACCTAATTAATAGGATTGAAAGGGTTCAGGTTTTTCTTAAATTTGCCCTCAGAAATCTTAACTTCAGCGAGCCTATTCCATCGTATAATTTCGTTTGCTATTAATAGACCTTAAATCTCTGGAAGCCAGAAGATCTTTGCTATCTCTAACTTTTACCTTTAACTTAATAAATGGTTTGATCGATTGCCCTACGCTCCTAGAGCAGGTCAACTTCAATGTTCCTCTAAGGAATCTTCGCAGTCCTCTGCCGTTTTATGGAGGAAATTTTAAAACGGAGTATGCCAGAAATGCTCTTATTTCAAGAGCTTTAAACGAATTTAACTCGATCTCGAATTCTATCGACCTGGATTTCTCTCCTCCAAAAAGTTAATTTATTTTTTCTTTCATCTCGAAACTGTAGAGTGCTTTATGTTTTACACGTATCATCTAAGTAGCTAAATTTTTATCTCTAGTCTGTAAGGAACGTCTGTTTCATATGACTGCAATAAAAAAATAAATAACAAATAAATAAAAATTTACTGTGGATCCATGGCAATTTCTGAAGATGTTTGCTTGCCGAAGAAGATGTTTGATTTCCAAAGTGCGCGAAGAACCACCTTTTTAATTTAGATGTACGGTAAAGATAGGCTGACTTCCAAAACGTACCATACAATGTTTGGATATTGTTATACTGCGGCATTCAAACTGTTTTTTTGTGCAAAGTTGCGAAACATTGCAACCACATACATTGCATGTTTTAAATATGCGATATAACAGTGAACAATTATACTGAATATTCCATTTTTAAAACACCAATGGTAACCAAAAACAAACGAAGCATCAACTTTTTTTTTGATGCACTGATTAATTTCGATAACTTTTCGGATGCGTTTTGGAAAAGTATACATTGTCACTATTTTATAGTTCGGCGTATGGAACATTATACTTTGTACATCAATTAATTAACGAATTATATTTTGATTGAATGAATGGCTGTCACTTAGGTATGTCCATACGTCTATTGTGAGTAAATCAAATACTACGCATGGTGAATACACTGCCGTGACCCACGAGAAATTAAGATTGTTCATTCACGTTGGGAAAATAGATAACCCCGGGTCCACACTAATTTTTGTCGTAGATCTACTGTTAAAAAATAGTTATTCGCATGCTTCGAAAATAGCTGTAAATCCAGTAATTTTTTTTTCGCGGATTCGCGGTAAATAAACTTTCTCAGAAATTACCGCGGATCTACGGTTATTTTTTGCCGTGGATCTACGGCCATTTTTACCGTGGATCTACGGTAATTTTACCATGGATCTGCGGTAATTTTTACCCTGGATCTACGGTAAATTTTTACCGTGGATCTACGGTAGTTTTACCGTGGATCCACGGTAAGTTACCGTGGCGCGTGTAAATAGACACTCCCAAATAAAATAGCTATAAAAAGCTTCATAAATGAGTTGGTATTAGACGTACCTATTTTGCCAACGGGTTTTTCCTGACCAAGTGAAACCTCAAGTTCTTTTCCTAACCCGTCATCTTTTTGACTAGCTTCATCTTGATGTGCGAACTGCATTTTTTGTTGTAGAATGCTCCAGTCCGATACAGTAGTTGGCGTTTCATCCCCGCTATGTTTGAAATACTCCATAAAACTATACGCTTCAATAAATTCTTGTAGACCCGGAGAATACGCACACCGGTATTGATAGGGGTCTTGTCCATTTAGTTCGAGGGCTACGGACTTGAAATTTGTTGCAACAACTTTTTCGAGCCGTTCTTCCGCCTCGTCCAGTATTCGTGAACGGTTATTTTTTCTACCATCTATTGTATGCAGAAGAAAAATGATTCGTTTCGCTTCGATGGTGATATCACGGCTGAGTTTAACAATTCTTTCATAGCGATCATGTTTGTCATCCAGTTCAAGCGCGTAATCCTGGAATGCGATTATTACTGGATTTTGCTCATCCGTAGTTTGTGAATTTTGAGCATATTTGTGTTTAAGTTGATTCCGACGGTTACTATTTCGAGAGCGTTGTGACATTTTTATATTGGCAATTTAAAAAATAATATGAGTTTTTTTGGAACAGTACACAATAGCGATTCATCGAAAACATCGATATTACCAATTCGATAAATAAGATAAAGCCGTCGCCCTCGATGTATATCACCATGATTCCATGAACGAAAGACACAAGATCACGTAAGAACAAGAGAGTGAAAAAAGTCGATTTTTTTAGCGGGTTCTACGCCATCTTGTTTCACTGGAAAACGAGCGAAAAGTAAACAAAGCAAAGAAAACAACGAAAACCAAAATTAGCCAAAATTATTGTCAGCCACTTTAAACGCACAATTTAGGTAAAATGATGCAACAAAATGCTTTAAAATGTGTTGTCATGTTGAATTAACTCTTCTTTACTTGAATAAAAGTGTAAAATAGTGGTGCTTGTTATGTAAACAAACGCTCAGCTGACGAACCCGCTTTCGCAAACTTTTTTCTCAAAACCAGTTACAAATACAACGTCGCGTTCTTACGTGATCTTATATTTTTGGTTCATGCAATGGTTCAGTAATTGCTGGTTTCTCATAAGCAGCATTTACATGAGGCGAGCTATTCAACATCGCTTTCAACAAAATCGCCTGTGCAAATTGTTTTTAAATTTTCTAGAAAGCGATAAAATCGCTTGCCCCAAAATAGACATGACACCAGGTGATTTTTTGTCTATTCAACTAGGTTTACCTTTCTTGTCAATTTTAAAATTGGAAATAATTGCATAATTTTTTATAGAGACAAGTAAATTTATAAACATTCGTACAAAATGAATGAAAATAATATAATTGCTTGCCCGGAAAGAGGCCCTCCAGGCAATATTAAGTGAGATGGATTTAAAAATTTCAGTTGAAGAGCTAAAAACAAAAAAAAAAGGTATACGTACAGCGTATACAAGGGAGGCTGGCAAAATAGCAGCCTCAAAGAAGAGTGGTGCTGGCACCGTGGCTGTCGTGGTTTGCAACAGCGGACCGTTTTTTTGAAAAAGGTGATTGACGGGAGACCCAGTAAAAGTAACTTGGTAAATTTTCACATTTTGATAGCTTTAAATTTTCTTTATTAGTCATGATAATACTGTTTAGACAAAAAATACTGCAAAAGATACAAATTCACAATTTCCTCATGATGTGCCGCAGTGCTCTCAGGCAAAAAGAAGTAAGTTCTTACCAAATGAAGTCAATTCTGGAAGCTATAGGAAGGTTGGAAAATATTTCTAACAATGAAGAGAGCGAGCTCGATGTTTTTGGGCAGCATTGTGCCATTAGAAGAACCACTTTCTTCACAATTATTCATAAACAATTATTTAGCACAAAAGCGGACTAGACTTTAACGGTCACAAGCAACAATATTCAAAGCAGCAAAAGCATATTCGCACAACTTCAAACCAATTGGCTGAAACGCGTGAAGACAACTATTTTGAAGATGATGACTGCATTTAATATGTTATAGAGGCAGAGTTGGAGCCTTGCAACGATTTTGAAGCCTATGAAGATGAACTAGCTTTACATAGCGCATTCGAGTAAACTACTAATTGTCACCACTTGCCAAAAATTTTTAAGAAAATTGCAATTTAATTATTGGTGAGAGCGCTGCTCGCATACTTGTATCCTGTTTTTTTTTTTATTAAAGGTGCACATTTTTGGAGAAGATAATTGAACTGTTCGGTGGTCATTCTTAAACACTGCAGAAAGTTTTTCGGATCATCTGAGGCAAGCTCCTTGTACAAATTATCAGAAGCGCCAAAAAATTCACGCTGACGAACCCATTTCCTTACCCATATTGTACGTTTCCTCTTTAACACTTCCTTGCGTAGTTCATGGATTAAATCTTTATTATTTCTTTAGCAATTATGTTGATGCTAAGTTTTAAAATTTTTCTTCTATTCATATTCAATAAATTACCACAATTTTAAAAAGTTAACGTTGACATTCGAACTCGTTCAACTTTTGTCGCCCGTGTGCACGTGTGTAAAAAACTTCTCAGGCAACTTCTCAGGCGATGTTGAATCGGTTATAGGGCATTCGCATGAGGCGATTTTTCAGGCAACTTTTAGTTGAAAGCAAAAATCGCCTCGTCCGAACGGCCTTTCAACTAATCGCTTTCAACAAAGTTGGTCGCCAGCCAACTTTGAGCTCGTTCAACTTTTTTTCCTTGCAACCCTGTGTTTTTTTACATTCTGTATCAGTGATTGGGAAATAAAATTGTTCCTTCAGTACGAAATCTATACAAAAAATGTCACTTTTCGGCTATAAATTGTATACACTTTTTAATTCGCTCATATATTTTCTTAGTACATTCCCTTCAAGACCAATGATTTTATGGTATTCATGAGAAGTTTTATTGTTTATGTACATACGTTTACGTATTTTACACTTTTACAAATTGATTCCACGCGCGCATGTATTGCATTTAACGCAAATATTATTATCACATTTTAGGTATACATCTTAACAAAAAGCATATTTAAGTTATTATTAATGGATAAAAGAGACATTTTCTTTGGATTCAGTACTAAAATTTGACATTTTAACAGAATTTCAAGTGCTTATCAAAACTTTACGAGAAGATTTGACCATTTATCTTAATATTATTCAATTTTAATTATTTTTTGTACAAATACGCTTTATATTTTAAGAAAAGCCGTACAAATCCAAGGTTCAAACTTTGTGCAACATTAAAAAAACCAACACACTTTCGTAAAAATTTCGATCTATTTAATTCGATTTCCTAGTTTTATTTTGAGTGTGTGGCTTTTTAGCCCATTAAATTTTAATATAACTAACTTTTTAAGATTTCTTTGATGAAGGTGTTGCTAAGTTACTCCATATAAAAAAATCGTCGAACACCTTTCGTATGGAAGAAAATGGCTGACATCGTCGACAAAACAAAATTGCCAAGTTCAAAGGTAAGTCCCAGCTACTTTAAATTTGCACTTTATTATACTAAAATTGAATGGGCTAAAAACTAAAGAATATTAATAAAGCTACAAATACATTATAGTTTATAAACAGATAATTAAAATTAACGAATAATAAAATAAATAGTAAAATCTTGTCAATATGTGAGTGCCGTAAAGGTATTATATTTAAGAAAATCTCTTATAACTAACGAAGACTTTGTTTCTATATGAAGCTGACTTTGACATTTTGTTTTAATAAAACTTAATATCGAAAAGTTTCTTTAAAAATTTGGCTAGGCTATATTATACTGGTTCGTTCAAGCCATTTTTCAAAACTTACAAAGGTAAATACGAACAGGCGAACTGTGAATTTTCAGAGCTATATATTTTTAGTATTCATTACAAAATTTTACTAAAAAGTACTGCGTAGTAGGAAAGTATATTGTAAATGAAATTGTATCAAACAAGTACAATTGTACCAAAAATGCCAACACTGTTCTGTATACATACTTTTTTTTCTTTTTTACTTTTTTACTCTTATTTTATCTTTCAGCTTCGCTAAAAGCACTTCTACCAACGCTTGGCTTCCCAAATTTACGCCAATTGATAAAATTTTGCGATTAAATTGATTTTCAATAATGTAAATAACGATTCGTGTTGAATCCAAAATCGCCTCGTCTGAATAGGGATGGCAACTTTTTCACTTTCAACTTCTCATTCAACTACGTATTCAACTTTTGTTGCCTGTAAAATCGCCGCGTGCGAATGCCCTATTATAGGGCTTTCGCACGAGGCGATTTTTCAGGCAACTTTTAGTTGAAAGCAAAAATCGCCTCGTCCGAACGGCCTTTCAACTAATCGCTTTCAACAAAGTTGGTCGCCAGCCAACTTTGAGCTCGTTCAACTTTTTTTCCTTGCAACCCTGTGTTTGTTTACATTCTGTATCAGTGTTGGGAAATAAAAGTGTGCCTTCAGTACGAAATCTATACAAAAAATGTCCTTTTCGGCTATAAATTGTACATACTTTTTAATTCGCTCATATATTTTCTTAGTATATTCCCTTCAAGACCAATGATTTTATGGTATTCATGAGAAAGTTTTATTGTTTATGTACATACGTTTACATACGTTTACGTATTTGACACTTTTACAAATTGATTCCACGCGCGCATGTACTGCATTTAACGCAAATATGTATGTATACATTTTCAGGTATACATCTTAACAAAAAGCATATTTAAGTTATTATTAATGGATAAAAGAGACATTTTCCTGTGGATTCAGTACTAAAATTTGAGATTTTAATAGCACTTCAAGTGCTTATCAAAACTTTACGACAAGATTTGACCATTTATCTTATTATTATTCAATTTTAATTAGTTTTTTTAAATACTGTTTATACATTAAGAAAAGCCGTACAAATCCAAGGTTCAAACTTTGTGCAACATATATCGCCATGGTTCAGTAATTGCTGGTTTCTCAGAGGGAATGCGTACCTTAATCATACACGTGTACTACTGCTGTAAGCATATGGCTGTATTAATGTTTCAAACATACAAAAATGGGGGAAACTTTGCATTATGGCCGTTCGTTAAAGGTGCGGTTGGCGAAGGGGGAGCGGGCGTGGCACCTCCAAATGACCTTTTTGGAGAGGGCATGAACCGCCATTGACAAAAATGCAACCCCCAACCACCTAGGCCCCCTATGGTTCCCTACGGACCCTTTAGAAAAATGGCCAAAAATCTCAATTTTTACTCTGTAGCAAAGTGGAAAGATGTAAGTTTTGTATATTTACATACATACATATGTATGTATTTATATCTTTTTTTTATGCATGAATACATTTGCATACACACATTATTTCGCAGACATTAGCGGCGTGGAAAAATCAGCTCCGCTGCAGAGCACGAAAAGTGCATGTGGATTTAATTGGAACAGGTGGGGGACCACGGACGGCAGTCATCTCTCATTTTTTTCACAAATTTTTTAAATCGTCGCACTTTTTATATCAACACAAACATATGTTTTTGTCTTGTCACCTGCCCAAAAGGTCATGACAATAAAAATGACAATTGGCATAATTCAATTGTCATTGCGGTGAGTCAGTGTGGCGGAATAGGGCTGTAATTCACTCANATATCTCCTGGGTGGTTGAAAAGGCCGAGTTTCCGATCCACCCAGTCGCGCTTTCGTGATAGTTGGAAAGGCCTAGTTT